AGCCGGAGGGGGGGGGGGGGGGGGGGGGGGGGGGGGGGGGAAAAGGAGACAAGGAGGGAGGAGGGAGGAGGGAGGAGGCCAGGGCTGATCCTGGACCTGTTGTTTGCTGAGGGATCGAATTAGAGCTTTATTTAGATTTATGCAGATGTTAACAGTAATGATATACAGAAGTAGCATCAGCATCAGTAGCATCAGCATCAGTAGCATCAGCATCAGTGCCCTTGTGTGTGTGTGTGTTAGTGCTGTGTTGCCTGTGGGTCAGTGTGACACACTGGTTTCCATCAACTCACATCAGCTTCTGTTCCACTGACATTTATCATCTGGGCTGCAGCAGGTCACTGCTTCTTCACTCATTAGAGCGGAGGCTTTAATGGAGCGTTGATTAGACCCAGTCGCTCTGACTGGAAAAACAAAAGAGTTTAAGAAGTCATTTTTGTTGATTTTCATTGGGTTGGATTTTGAACCATAGCAGTGGTCGCTGTAGAGCTGTGTTTCTCTCCGCTGGCCACCAGGGGGCCACACAGTGGTAGGGTGGCCTATAATATTGGCTGACCAATATTATCAGCCTGGTATTAGCATAATGTATGTAACATTGTTAAGAATTGTTATCGGTTTTTTACCTACGTTTTGGGGGCAAACGGTTGCATATATCGTGATGGGTTGATATCGGAAAATTTGGTGTTTGGACAAAATCGGCATAACGGATATCGGCAAAAACGTAATATCAGACCACTTTCTTGTGCAGATGCAACGTTCGTACATGAGGCGCCGTGGGTGTATGTGTTGGGATCAACTCCGCAACACTTCAGAGAATGGACCACAAGTCAGGTCCAAGTCCAAGTTAAGTCAAGAAGTCAAGAAAAAGTCCAACAGATCCAGACTCAGAGAGTGCAGCTTCAGACAACACCACCGCACAGACTGTTTGACTGTTTGACCTTGACCCTTGACCCTCCTGTCCGAGGGGATCACACAGTATTTGACGACAAAGAGATAAAACTGTCGGACAAGATGTGAGGTCACGTCGACACGTTTCCTCTAATAAAAGCGACCTCCGCGGTCGGTTCCTGTGTCTCGTGGCACATGGATGAGCAACAGAGAGAACTAACGAAGAGTTAACGAACAGTGAGAACGGTGAGAGGCAGAGAGGAGTCTGGGAAATGATCAGCTGAGTGAAAACCAAAAAAAGGGAGGAGGAAGAAACGAGTGGAACAACGACAGAGAGCAGAAACGAAGGGGAGGCAGATGGGCAGGTGAGGGCGGAATAAAAGGGGTGAGAGACGAGGCAGGGAGGACGTCTGTGGGGGTGAGACGGCGAGGAACGTGTCACACTTGACATTTACCTTCCATATTCTTCAGTCAACAGGAACAGCAGGGATGAGGAGGGAGGAGGCGCAGAGAGGAAATGCTGGATGAATATGTAACTGTTACTGTGTAAACACTGACCATGACCCCAGGGTCCAGGGAACACCGCGGAGGAACCCAGCCCTCATCTGGGAACGTCGTCGGTCTGGCACTGCTGTCGCTTTGAGGAACATCTAACTGAAAATGTTTGACACCAGACACGAGCTAACGCTGCTAACAGCATCTCGATTAAACTGAAGGTAATTTCACATCTATACGTTTTCCATCATATATTCCCCACCGAATGAACATAGGAGCTATGTTTTCGGGGTTGGGGGGGGGGTTATTGCCCCTGGTAGGGTCTCAGAAGGCAAACAGGTGACGGATCAAAC